CAGTCGGAGGTGACGGGCTCTCTTTATGAGCCTGCCGTCCAATATAGAAGCATTGTGCTGTATCTTCTGTACAGTTGTGTTTGTGACAGTTGACACAGGAAGCGCTGTGAATACACTGTGACTACAGCGCTCATGTCACTGATCGCAGAGCGGAGAATGGACATTCTTTGCTCTGCTCCCCCCTCTTCATCCTGAACCGCTTTGCCGTGGTCTCAGGTCCCCCAGAAGAGCGGGGAGCCCAAAAACTATGGCGGGGAGGGGCGGAGCTTGGTGGGGAGGGAACGGAGGGGTGGGTTATGGACGAGCAGGCTGCTATACAAGTGATCCGGACGGATCACTTGTACAAGCAGCCCAAACCTATTTAAAAATGTAAAGCGCCTGCATCGGGGCTGTTGAAATTTCCTTTGGTATCAGCATCTGCCATTATGGTTGTTACAAGACTGAATTCTTAGTAAATGCACAGCAGTCAGCCCGTTGGCACATACATATAGATGTAATCACTTGCTCCCCAACACACAGAGTTTTTGGGGTGGGTGTACTCTTTGGTACGCCAAAGAATTTTGAGGAGGTGTGCTCACTGGGTCTCCAATAGAGTTTATGCTGGGCAGACAATTTGTTGCGTATGGGGCTGTGTAGCTTCAGTCCGGTCACGGTGCCCATGCTATCGATAATACGAAATCACCTGCACTCCATACAGCGTACAGACCTTGGATGAGAGGTTGGTGCTTGAAGTGACAACAGGGATGGAGCCGTGTCAGATACAGTCCATGATAGAAGTCACCAGCACTCGATGATATGTGCAAGAAGTAAAGCACTTTTTATTAAATCGTCAATAAGCCAACGCTTTGGGGCCACGCAAGGTCCCTTCTTCAGGGCGACATAGGGACCATAGTGACATTAAAAAGTGCTTTTATTTCTTGCACATATCGAGTGCTGGTGACTTCTATCACGGACGGTGCCCATACTGACACGTATCCACCGCCAAAAACGCCTACAATGGGCACGTGAGTGTCAGAACTAAACCACTGAGCAATGGAAGAAGGTGGCCTGGTCTGATGAATCACGTTTTCTTTTACATCATGGGGATGGCTGGGTGCGTGTATCACTTATATGGGGAGGAGATGACACCAGGATGCACTATGGGGAAAAAGGCAAGTCGGCGGAGGCAGTGTGATGCTTTGGGCAATAATCTGCTGGGAAACCTTGGATCATGCGTGTGGTTGTTACTTTGACACACGAAGTTTGGAGGTCTGTAACTATTGACTCTGCAGACAGTTTGCGACTTCTGTGCGCTTCAGCATGCGCTGACCCCGCTCTGTCATCTTACGTGGCCTACCACTTGGCGGCTGAGCTGCTGTTGTTCCCAGTCCCTTCCACTTTGTTATAATTCCACTAACAGCTGACTGTGGAATATTTAGCAGCAAGGAAATTTCACGGATGGACTTATTGCACAGGTGGCAACCTATCATAGTACCATGCTTGAATTCACTGAGCTCCTAAGAGAGACCCTTTCTTTCACAAATGTTTGTAGAAGCATCTGCATGCCGAGGTGCTTGATTTTATATATACCCTGTTTCCCCGAAAATAAGACCTACCCCGAAATTAAGACCTAGTACTATTTTTGGGAATTGCTAAAATATAAGACCTACCCTGAAAATAAGACCT